ACCATTCATATTTTGTTTGTGTGGTAGATGGGTGGTGTTCTCGGAACACACATTTGTTCGATTTAATTTAAAACGGTTTTTTTTCAATAACATACAGAAACAAAAAGGTTTTATTTAAACACAATGTCGTATCCTTCATAAACATGTTATTGTATTTTTTATTAGACTTACTAAATAAAACATACAAATGTATGCATTTAAACCCGCTGCATTTGTTTGCACCTGTCCTAAGTCAGGAATCTGATGTTCAGTAGTTGTCGTTTGTTGATGTGGTTCATAAGTGTTTCTCGTTTCTCGTTTTTTATATAGATTAGACCGTTGGTTTTCCCGTTTGAATGGTTTTACACTAGTAATTTTTTGGGGCCCTTTATAGCTTACTATTCGGTGTGAGCCAAGGCTCCGTGTTGAAGACCGTACTGTGACCTATAGTGGTTTACTTTTGTGGATTTTTACTTGGATGGAGAGTTGTCTCATTGGCACTCATGCCACATCTTCTTATATCTATATGTTTCTTGTTGCAATTGCCATATAAGGAATAGAGAATGAAGGAGTGCTATCTTATAAACTAGAGCAGAGAAAAAGTGGTGCTTAAATATAAAATTATTATAGAGAAATATTGCTTACAAACCAAAGAATAAATCACAGAAATGAAGCCTACCTCCACCCCCACCCCCCCTCCCTTCCTCCCAAAAAAAATAAAGCCTCCAACCAAACCATCCATGATCATGTTCAGATAAAAAAAATCCATGGTGCCCCATCCCTCCCCAGCTCCTGCATGTACCATTGTAATATAATAATAAAGAGACAACTATCACCAAAGTTTAAATGAAGTGGATGCAAGCAATTATATGCAACCATACGGCCTTCAAAAATGACAAAAATCAATACCGTTTAGTCGGCTATGAAAGGCCCCGACATGAAAAAAATTAAACAATTCAATTGAGAAAACTAACGGCCTAATTTATAACTAAACAATTTACCTTTTAAATCACCTTTAATCCAATTAATGGCATGTGTACAGTTGACATCTTTTCAATCACCAATAAAATATATATAATACTTCCATAATTAAACAAAGTGCCTCGGAGGACATTATATTTTTATGTTTTACAACAAAACTGACATATTAGCACGACTCCGCTTGCATATTTTTATATAAGACACAGAAGGAAAATAAAAGCATATACGCCTCCACAGGAATGTATTCACGATCTGTTTTCCCGAAAGAGTTTAAAGTAAACAAAGTTTCGTAAAAGCCGAGCACTATGAGTTTTAAGGTTTCTAACGGACATTTCGAAAATTGCGATAATTTCTAACACTAGGGGGGTGTTTAACGTCCTTGACTACCCATGATCGTCTCGCACGGTCGGTCATTTCTAACACAGCATTTTCGAATATAATAGAATATAATACATAAGGAGATGTGGTATGATTGCCAATAAGATAACTATCCACCACAGCTAAATGCCGAAGTGGATGTAAGCAATTATAGTCAACCGTACTGCCTTCAACAATGAGAAAATCCCATACTTTATGGTCGGCTATAAAAGGCCCCGACATGAAAAATATGACACAATTTAATTGAGAAAACTTACGGCCTAATTTATAACAAAACAATTTACGATTTTTTTTTATGACAGACATGAACCAACGACAACCATTGAACTACAAGCTCCTGACTTTTGACAGGCACATATAGGATTCTTTGTACTCTGGTGAAAGACAAATAATATTACTAATTTCATTGATAAATAATTTCAAATAGAGTAAATAACATCGTCTATCTGACTTATATTCCTCTTATAGTCCGCGTATTTATAGGCCTAGTTATTCAGCAGCGACGGCGGCGCCATCTGTTATCATAATATACAAAATACGAAAGTTCATGTCACAAATGTACCATTTGCAATAAATGATGCAAAATCAAAATCAGATATTTGAATTACATAGTTGCATAGTTCTAATTGCAATTCTCAAACATTCAATTGTCAAATTGCACTGTAACAAATTACGAATTGCAAAGTTGGAATTTTAAAATTACCGAGTTACATACATACAATTTAAGAATTGCAAAGTTGGATTTATGACACCTTTGACTTTCCATACTCGGCTAGCTTTAAATTATATAAACTCTACAACAACAAAAAACTTACCACTCTTTATTACGTCTCTTAATGGAGAACTATTGTGTTACTGTAAATTCTTCTCGTTGTTGTTATTGGCTTTCTTATTCTTCTCATATACAAGCTTGTCTTATTGCTATAGTCTGGGGATTTCAGTTATTTTTGCTAACAAAATTATTTCCATATCTCATGCATTTTAGGATCCAAGTCAGAAGTTGTAAAATTTTATATCTGAATATTTTTCGTTATTTGGAAAGTTTACTGTTTCTGGTAAATCTTGATTGTTTCTGTTAAAGACGTGAGGCTCTGTTCTCCTGTATATGTTTCGCTCACGGGGTAAACATAGGAAAAATGTCGAAACTTAATGAATTTGTATATATTGCATAGTCCTAATTATATACTTAAAACAGATTTCCATTCATAAAATAGTTATTTTGCACTAAACATTGCTGTTCCATGCCCTTTTGAAACAGTGTTGCAAATCTTTTTTGTTTTAGTAAAATTGTATTTCGAATGACATCGCTGAACAACATAGATGAATTTGTTTCCAAAATACCATTCATATTTTCCTTCTGACAGATGTTTGTTTCGTCTGGAAAAATACTGGGTCATGATATATTTAAATTACAGTCCCGAGTAATCTGAAGATGTTCATTTGGGGTTAAATGTTCAGAAATGCGCAATAATGTATGTTTTTAAATACTGAAAGTATAAACATATTAAGCTATGATGATACTGATTATTGAAAAAAGATTAAAAGACATTAAAAATGTCCCTAGCGTGGAATAAATTCGGGGTAAATTGGTCCTACTTCTTAATTTCTCTATTTCAATTCAGAGTTATAAATTGTTTAGATAGCTGTCTATTGTTGCCGACCATATGACTCCAGTGTTGTACTGTTATCTTTTTCGTTGGGTTGCTGTCTCATTGACGTATATCCACATCTCCTTTTTTTCCATATGAATATGAAATGAATAAAACATACATGTAGTAAGTAGATTGAGTGGATCAACGCGTTTCTTGTACAGAAAATATAACTGTTCACAGAATCTGTTGTCGGTGGTTGACCTGATTTTTCCGTGTTCGTTTTTTTATATTTTGTTTTAGTTCATTCTTGGCGACGGGATGTTTTATTCTTTTATTGTTCTTTTACATAAATCATCATGATATGTATGAAATATTAAAAAAAAATATTTGTATTTGAACAGCATTATACATGTTATACGAAAACTAAACGATCACTTCAGAGAAAATAACAAAAAAAAATAAAATTATATTAGACATCGAAAAGAGGAGACTCCGAGTAATCAATTTGGCGTACAGTCATGACAACACATTGGACATTAATTATAAATAGAGAGTTAATATATTAGACCTTGATTTTACTCGGAATGAACTACCCCTAAATGGATAAATTAATATGTGTCCAATTTGCACACAACAACAGATGTTATTTTTTCTCTGATAAAGATTTTAATCGAACTGCCTAAACAACATGACTTCAATAACTTTCATTTTGTTTGCGGGGCATTATTATCAATTATGACCGGGTCGACAATTTCCGATAAAATTTACGAAGTTTACCGAATTTTAACCGCCACCATCACTTTCATCAATCATCAGAAACAATCATCACCATCAATCATCATCATCATTATCACTGATCATCACCTTCATCAACAAAAGGCGTATAATGTTGTGACCACTGCATATAATGTTCCGACAGTTGCATATAATGTAATCATGACTGCATATAATGTTGTGACCACTGCATATAAAGTGCCGACAACATCATATATTGTTGTGACCACTGAGTATAATGTTGTGACCACTGCATATAATGTTCCGAAAACTGCATATAATGTTGTGACCACTGCATATAATGTTCCGACAACATCATATAATGTTGTGACCACTGCATATGATGTTGTCACCACTATATATATTGCTGTCACCACTGCATATAATGCTGCTACTACTGCATATAATGATGATCATCAACATAAGGCAGTCATGGCGTTCCATTTATAAATGCTCTGTATACTTTAACGGTCGGGCTAGTTTTCAGTAGTTACCTCCTCTATTAATGCAATATAGTGAATACAATATATATCAGTTTTGTACTATCCTCTTTGCAGTATATTTTCTTGTTTATTTTAAATTGTTAATCTATCTAATACTAAAATTTATTATTTGTAGTTCTTATCACAGATAAAAATTGAATAATTTGGCAGTCTTTGTTTATTATATCACCTCATATCATTTCATAAGTCAGTCGGTCTATTTTGTCTACATCTACAAAGCGTTTCAATGCTGCTGTTGTTTAAATGAAAACGAGCTACGTTGAAATAAAAAAGCTACCTTGACATATTTCAATTTCCATGGGTTTGCAACTCAAATTGAATGCATTGTCTAAATTCAAATGACATATAAAATGCCGTTTTTCTTCTTATTTTTATGTTATATCAGATATGAAAAACAAAAACACTTTCGTTTTTCATTTTTGTTTTTGAGATTTAAAAAACGAAAAACGGAAATACCTTCTTTTTTTCCTTTTTTGATTTCTTAAAACAAAAAACAAATGGACGCAAATATTCACGGACCTGTTTAGAATGTATTTTTAAATGTTCAGCAGAATTTAGAAATGCTCAAGACACAATATTTCCAGGATTATCCCAAACATTTTCAGAATTTTATATGATGTCATACGTCGTGCTATGCTTAATAATAAATCACTTAACAAGTGCTTTGATTTACATTGTTCTTTTTGTTTAGTATATGATTTTAAATGTGGTGCAGTATTAAAAAATACTCAAGATACAATATCTCCAAGATTATCGCATAATATTTACAGACTGTTGTATGTTGTCATTATAGGGAGGTAAAACAGCATTACACTTGGCAGCTGAGAATATAATTTTTGGGTTGGAGATAACACAATGGCTTGTTGACGAAAAAGGAATGGATCCCATGGATAAGACATTGCAGGTAACATTTTCCATTAGAAACGTAGTGCTATCCTTAATAGTGAATCACTTAAAAAGTGTTTTGAATTGCACTGTTTTTTAATTTTGATGTATTAAATGATTTTTTAAATGTGGTGCAGTATTCAAAAATACTAAATACTCAAAACACAATATTTTCCAGATTATCACATAATATTTACAGACTTTTATATGTTGTCATTAAAGGAAAGTAAAACAGCATTACATTTGGCAGCTGAGATTGGAAATTTGGAGTTGACACAATGGCTGATTAAAGAAAAAGGAATGGATCCCATGGTTAAAACATCTAAGGTAACATTCGATATTATATATTTACATTGTACTAAGTACTGTGTTTAATAGTGAACCACTTTAATACAAAAGTGTTTTAAATAACATTGTATTTATTGATTTGTTAGAATTGTTCTTTTTGGTCTGCAGAATTTAGAAATAATAAATAAATGATAGGTACTAATAGTAGACTGTACATACATGTTGTACATGTTCATTTCCTCACATAATTGCTCAAGAAAAAAGTATTTACTCCCAAATAATTAAAAACTTTCAATTTGTCTTGATAAAGAAAATTTATTATCCGATATGGAATTCTGTTTTTTAGTACATGTACCATGATTCAAAAGAAAATAGTGTGACTTTCCTTAAGATGAAAGCACAAGTGTGCTAATGGAAACATAATTTGACCATCACATTAAATTAAGTGGTGTCTCTAAGTATTAGATGTATTGTGTATTTTTTCTTATTTGACTGTATATTATACTATATTATAATATTTCTGGGATTCACTAAGTTTTGTTTTATCAATAAATGAGAGGCGGAATATTAAAAAAATATATGTCGTGCAAATGTTGGTTTTAACAGTTTTATAGGGTTAATACATCAAATAGAACATTATTTTTGTCTGTACAGGAAACTAGCTTTTTTCTGAAGTTGAGAACAGTTTTAATCAGATCTAAGATCATTTTAGAAACCATAGCACCTTGTTTTTTCCCAACATTTATTAATATCCAGTCAATTTCATACATTGATATTAGGTATGTAATACGTTGTGAGAGTATGAATACACCAATACGTCCTTCTGTCTATTTGTCTGTATGGATGTATAAATACACCACCACATCGATTTATTTGTTGGGGATGTATAAATACACCATTATTATTCGACGTCTGTTTGTCTGCAGGAAATTAAAAAACACGATACCACTTCATTTTGGCATAGGGATGAAAAAGGAAAATACCATGTACGTGTGTCTGTAGGGGATGTATAAATACACTACCACGTCTGTTTGTATGGGATGTTTAAATGCACTTCCATGTCTATTTGTATGTAGTAGATGTACTATTACAATAAATAAGGGGGAGTATTCTACAAAAGCGGAGGTTTTGTTCTGTAAATCTTATTCAATCCACTAACAATAACAATAACAAAACAATACTTAATTGTAAGTTAATAACACAGTTAGTAAATGAGTAATGCAACCATTGTTCCCTCAGGCCCAATTATAGAAAAGCAGAAGCATTGTTGAAAAACCAAAAAATTACAAACATGTTAATGCCATACATAGATGCAGTGTATAAAATTCATAAGTATACTGTTCAATTGCATGGCAGAAAATGAATGAAAAAAAGGAAAATCTATATATTAAACATTATGATCAACTGATTAATTTCAATAACTGTTGTTTTTGCCATATGATAAACAAAAAAAGAAACATCATCAAATGTCCGATCTTGTCAACGCCCTCACCATACAATTCTAGCTAGATTTGTATGACATTTATATCAAAGAATTATGAAATGTATATCAACATTGTATTGGACGCGTTTTAAAACCAATGGCGATCAACTATTTCAAAATGATTTATATAAAATAAGATGTAGTATGACTGCCATTGAGACAACTCGTAATAAGATAAAATGGAATTAAGCACGTACAGCCTTCCAAAATGAGAGTACCTTATTCTGCATAGCAAGCTTTCAAAGACCACGACATGACACATTAAAAAAAAAAAAACTCAAAAGAAAAACAACTTTCGGCCTGATTCATGTACAAAACATTATGGTTGATGATTGGTGGTTGCTTAACGTCCAGTGGGAAATAGTTCATGCATGTTCAAGAGAAACAAAATTTAACAAAACAATACAATAGGTAGGTCCTGTAACGGAGGCCGTCCGGAATGATAGACTTCCACTGGAAAAGGAGGGTATATTGGATAGGGACAGATATTTTGCCTTGCGACAGGCCACCTACGAATCCCTCAAAAAGTTGTTGCAAGGGTTCTTAACCTGAAGAGAGCGTAGCACTCTTTCTACACGAAGCATTAGATTTAACATGCACATTCTGACCGGACGCGGCTGCGTACATGTACATCCCACACCCCACTATGGCAAGGGTTTTACTGCCAGTCGGAAAAAGACCAAGAGTAACAATATTTATATTCCCCAGTCACCCTTAGGGGTAACAAAACAATACACGAAAATCGAACATGATATGCAGTAGGAAACGACAATCACTGAATTACCAACTCCCGACTTGGGATTCGCACATACATAATGTGTCGGTGTTACACATGTAAGCGGGCGCCCAACCCTCCCATAACATGGGACAGTGGTGCGAAATCACGAAAATAAACTGTCTTATTGGCACTCATACCACATCTTATATCTATAAAACAATAAACGAAAAAACGAAAACACAAATAGGATAAACAGCAACACATGTCAAACAATCAATAACAGGCTCCTGACAGACTTGGGATTGTAACATATAGAATGTAGCGAGGTTAAACCTGTGTGTGGGCACCAAACCCGGGACCACCCCATAACCTGGAGCAGTGGTGTAAGAGATCAATATACATGTAAGAATAAACGATAAACAGTACATATCTGAAAGTATTCATAGTTATTGAAAACTAGTTCATAACCAATAAAAACTAAATTAAAGAACCTTAGTGAGCGCGCTCACATACACTACGTCCCCACATTGTCATTGGAGAAATAAAATAAGTGTAAGAAAAAAAATTGTATCAGAAAAAAAAATTGAATCATAATTTCCTGTAAATATGCACATCTACATAGTATGTCCTTATTATCTACACAGTTTCATGAAATTCTGTTGTGTGGTTTGAGAGGAGTTGCGATGACAAAAGGTTGCAGTAGTATATTGGACAAATAAGTTCAAAGGGGCGTAACTCCTGGAAAAAAAATTGAATCGTAATTTCCTGTCGATATGCACATCTACGTAGTATGTCCTAATTATCTGAAAAGGTTTCTTGAAATTCTGTTGTGTGGTTTGAGAGGAGTTGCGATGACAAAAGTTTGCAGTAGTTTATTGGGCAAATAAGTTTAAAGGGGCGCAACTCCTGGAAAAAAATTGAATCGTAATTTCCTGTCGATATGCACATCTAAGTAGTATGTCCTTATTATCTGAAAAGGTTTCATGAAATTCTGTTGTGTGGTTTGAGAGGAGTTGCGATGACAAAAAGTTGCAGTAGTATATTTGGCAAATAAGTTCAAAGGGGCGTAACTCCTGGAAAAAAATTGAATCGTAATTTCCTGTCGATATGCACATCTACGTTGTATGTGCTTATTATCTGAAAAGGTTTCATGAAATTCTGTTGTGTGGTTTGAGAGGAGTTGCAATGACAAAAGGTTGCAGTAGTACATTAAAGTAAATTAGTTCAAAGGGGCATAACTCGTAGAAAAAAAATTGAATCGTAATTTCCTGTCGATATGCACAACTACATAGTATGTCCTTATTATCTAAAAAGGTTTTGTGAAATTCTGTTGTGTGGTTTGAGAGGAGTTGCGATGACAAGAAATAGGACTGACGGACTGACGGACGGACAGACGGACGGACAAAAAGACGGACGGACAGACGGACGGACGGGTCAAAAACATTATACCCTCCGCAACTCGTTGTGTGGGGTATAATTAGGTATCTAAGACTGTCATAAAAGTGAGAGGTTTAGCTAGATATAAAACCAGGTTTAATCCACAATTTTCTACATAAGGAAATGCCTGTACCAAGTCAGGAATATGACAGTTGTTTTTCCATTCGTTTGATGTGTTTGAGCTTTTAATTTTGCCATTTGATAAGGGACTTTCCGATTTGAATTTCCCTTGGAGTTCGGTATTATTGTTATTTTACTTTTTTTTTATAACAAGTAGTACTCATCAAATGAATTAAGTTTTTAGGACGAAATCTAGGGCCAATTTCTTTATTAAGTTTGACTATTTGTCATTTAATAACAGAACTGCTTCTTACTAGTGTTTTATATTCTGACTATTTGTCAAGTACAAACAGAACTTTTAATTAAGGATGTTCGCTCCTCTTGTTTTTAAATTTTTGCCAGATATTCGGAATCCTCTGGTTTTTCCATGTAGTGCCGTTAAACATTTTGCCCACTAACCCCTACTTTTCTTTCCATAAATTGATTACTTCATATAGTTTAAAATGTCATCTTTGAAAATATTATAAAATCCTTGTTATTTTTTCATCGTTTTTGAAAGAAAAAAGGTGTCAATGTTAAATGTATGAAAAATCTAGAGAGAACTATTTCCCGCCAAATTTTCAATGGCTTATATCTCGAAAACAAGCACACGGACCCTTCAATTTTATCTGCTTATTTAGTTTCTTTATTTATATACTAGTAATTTACAACAGTCTTTTAAAAAGCTTACATAGTAGCGAACATCCTTAACAGTGTTTTCATTTGAAATATCAAATGTTTTAAAACTGTATAATACTAGGAAGATTGTAATATTATGTATGTTTGATGACTATATCGCATTAACAAGGGAAATTACTGAGAAAAAAAACTAGTATAGCCCTTTCCAGAAACTCATATCTGGAACTACGAATTTTAATAATTTGAAGTTGGTTATCTCCCTTTTTCCGAAGTAGAACTGCTTCGCTGCAATGAAGTTCAAGGAAGAAACAACGATCAGGGGTTTTAGTTCCTTTAGATTTAAAGACAATCTTTGATGTTTACAAATATTAAAATTAATTATGTTATTTTGTTTTCAAACATAATTGTAATCAAACCGGATAATGTTTGTAAATTTAAGTAACAACTTGTTTTCTTTTTTTAAGTTCACTGTTGCTCAGCACTACACCAAACTAGCATTTGTACCTTCTATACTTATCAACAAGGGAAATAATTATTATTTAATTGTAATTGTAAAATAACATTTAAGCTTTTGGGAGTGAGTTTCTAGAAATACCATACAGAACGCAGATTAATTATGTTAGATTGGGATATAAAGTAGATATTACTCAAATAATCAGGACG